TTGGCGCGACTTCCCTGCTTTTTGCTGAGTCAGTGAAATTGCATCCGATTGAGCTGATTGCTGTTTGCTGAAGTCGTGAGATTGGATTATTGTGTTTGTGTGAACTGTTGAACGTCACAATAACTCCTTGTGACAATTTTCAGCTGTGATAACTGCCTACCGTGGAATTCACTTCTAAAACTCGAACTATCAGTGGAGAATATCCTTCTTACTCTGGATATATTCTTCACCGCCGAATACAATTACGGCACAACATTTCGTGTAGTGGAATTATTGGACCTTCAATTTAGTGAGTCTGTTCCGTTAACTTGTCCATTTCTTATTGCCATTTGTTATTTCTAAGCTGGTAATTTGGTTGTATATTCTATCGAACACGCATACATAGGTCCTTGTCCACTAAAAAATGCTGTCAGACTTACTGGAGTAGAAGGAAATTTGTCTATGGGTTTATTTATCTTGGGATATGCTGTGGTGACACTCAAAGCGATTTGTCGAGCTTATTCGGCAGCAAGGTATGTTTGCACACTACCACTTGGTCAAGCATGGCTAGTCAACCGTCCAGATGGCTTCTCATTGGACAAGGTATCCCGCTAGTCATCCCCTAATCACAACATACAACCCTATCCCGATATGCTCGTAGAGTGAAAAATTATCAGCTTGGACCAAAAGATTTAGGGTCTCATAACTTGAAAATCATAGTCATGTCTATAAATGACATGTCTAGAGATGAGTTCGGATGGATCTTGACATTCTGAGGGAAAATGCTTGAGTCGGATGGAGAAAACCATGATGATTTAAAATATGGTCAGCTAGATGTGCCGTCCGCTCTGTAAGGCAACAGCTGGATATAACCCCACTGAAACATGGGGCAACCCGGTGCAACATATTTAACTGATTGAAAACATCATAAACGGGAAATCCAGGAGGGGTTTAAAATAAGTCTCCCACAGAACCAAATTTGTTTGCAACTGAGTGTATTTCGCTAATATTCAATTTCTGTTCAGGTAAAGCACAGAAGTGACGACGATGATGAATGGCTTAAAGAGATCCAGGGCTTTTGGAGAGCATAAAGATACCCTTCAACGTTCTGTCAGATGATGATATGCTGTTCCCCTTCTTCCACCACCATTAGGCGCAGATAAAATTGTGGATATACAGATCAGGTCACCCAGATGAAACCTGGACAGCTTTGTGCAGCACATTCAGTTGGAGAATAGCACACATGAGAGATTCAGTAGTGAATCAGCGAAGACTCTCGTTGAAACAAATTCTTTTGGAACATTGTATATTTTGCAGACCGAGCAACCGTATACCACTCCACCAACCAAGCAAGGTTGACGATGAAGTAATTTCATCTTGAATAAAGCTGTTTCCACTAAACAACACTCTAATCCTCCCACAGTGAAGGTCTACCGACTGTCTTGTTAGTGGCCTTTATTGTCGCCCAACAAAACAGATTCTAGTCCACGATATTTCTGGTGAGTTTTTGGGGAAAATACAATAATCGTTCAGCATCTAACCATTATCTTCGATTGCCAAAAAATAAAAATTGCCGACCAAGTTTACCGAGGTGAAAGCCTAAATTTTTCCTATTGTGTGGGTGGAGCTCCGTTGTGGAGGTTACGTCTCGTATACAGATTTTGAACGCCGGCCGATACATCTCGGTTCAATTTAACTAATTTGGCAGTAGTGAACCATATGCACTAGGGAGAAGCATAAAAATTATCGAATGAATACGTGTGCCACATAGGCCAAAATATCATCCCTCCGAAAAGCAACTGTTTCGACCAGAGCCGTCGAAAATCAAGATTTCGATAAACGTACCACATTGGGAAATAATGTCAATGAATGAAAGACGGTTTGTTGTGTAACATTTCCCTCCGAGGCCGAGGTGATTCTCTTCCACAATATTGAGAACCATACAAATCTCTGCCTCGAGTTCATAAGAACTCCATAGCCACACATACCAAAACTAAAGCGTATCGGAATTTGTATGCAATAATTATTGAAAAAACATGAAGGTCGCGAGCTAGCAATGCCGAACAAATTCTTCTACTTCACTACGCCTAAGTTTCCGGCTGTCGTCGGTCTCCTAATTTCTGATATGTCCTATGTGCGTTGACGGATCACGGGTTACTACACCAATCTGTCCAGTTCGATTGCGAAACCAGTCTCGTTTTCCTGATCGCCAGGTCCCCGCTTCACCTGAAAAATCGTCTCATTAAATAACGATTATTCAGGTATGTGTAATTATGATCACCAGATTTGAAGCCACAAGGTTTTGCTCTGCAAACCGCAAATTTAAGACAACCAAAAATCAATGAAAAATGAATCAGATGTTTCTGTGTGTGAATCAACGATGAGTTACACGACTGGTTATCCTATTATTCTAACTAGCGATTATGCTCTACCTATTTGGCACTCTCATCAAACAAGTACCTTCTCAGTGACCTCGATCACTGTCAATTTTCCGAACCAAAAGATTTAGCTCTCACATTCTAATGCATGGCTTCTTTTGAGAATCATAACCGCGCACAGAAAAAAACTATGGACCTATGGTCCAGAATTCTAGGCTTAGCCTGGTAAAGCGCAAACCTGTGACAAGAGAACAACAAATAATTTAGCGAAAACCTTTTGACGCTGCTCTTTATCGAAAATCTCCGTACATTGTCACGTCAGGCAGAGTTTGTCTAAATAGTCCCACCTCACGAGCGTTCGCAATTCTTGCTCAAAAAATCTTTTGCTGTAACACTGAATCAAAAAACTGTTCCGTGGCTACATTCATGAACAGGTGTTTCGAGCAATATCTAACCTCACGTTTTATCGATTGGTGCGCCCACCTAATACCTAAGACAATAACCAAACAACTGTTAGCGTGATGTAACAACATTTCGCCAAGCAATACTAGCAGTTGAATTTTATCCTCATATTGGTTTTTGAAACCCGATTTGTTTGATCCAATTTGCTTAACCTCCAGAATTTCAGTGGTCAGTGTACGATGTATGGATGGAAAAGCGCTACAGCATTTGAGATATAAAAGCCTCGACATCTGGTCTGAAATCAAACCTGAACATGTAAGTCTGGGGATACCTGAATACCGTAGTCAGTTCGACGCGATTATTGTTTTGCACCGTGATATTGTGTCCACCTAAGTAACAATGTGGCCCCTGCTTCTTAATAAACTTCCACAGAAAATTTCATCTGCGTTTTTTCAGGTCCAACATGCGTGCATTCATCGTTGTACTGACCGCAGTTCTCATCATGTCGGAAATAAATGGTGGAGCGCGTGAGTGACGCATTTTTGAACCCAGCACATATTTTATTGTGTTTTGCAGTCAGCTAAATTCGTCTTGCATACCGCAGGAAATGGTTTTCGTATAGTTAATGGTTTATATTTCGATATATTAAAACCGAGTGGTTTGTATTAACCGTTTTCCGCCGTCTTACGCTACTTACCGAACAACCTCCTCAGGCGTTGTGCCTGCGACTACCGATCACGGCTGTTCGGAGGAATTCTTCTTCAGGCATCCAAAATTAAAGTGCACCTCCAAAATATTGAGTCACATCTTGTCACCTAGGACTAACTTTCTGGTGATTTCATTTTCACTGCTCAAAAAACATTCTACATTGATGCTGATTTTGAACTTCATCATATTCGAGTGCGTTTCTGGTCGTTTATCTGTCCAGTATCTTGACCAAGTGTGCAATGGTTTTGTCCAATAAGATTCAAATGGCAATTACGCAAGTCGAAATTATACAATCACTGTTCAGAAGCAGTTCTATTCATATTTCGTCATTCTATTATTTGTGACTAATATACCTACATCCGGAAATGTGAGGTTCTAGTGAGTATTGGAAGCTTGATGACTTTATTTCACATTTAAGTTTCCAGTTTATCTACAAGCTTTTTGGCGTTCATATGAATTCTTCTTATCCTCTGAAAGTGATAAGCGATGAGAAGAGAAAACAACTGCTGGGGATATATGAGCGCCGCAGAAGAGCTCAGGAACCTGCCACCGTAGAACAACCGGCTCCAGATGATTCATTCACATGATGCATAAAACTGAACTCGTCCCTTCAAACATCGCCGTATGCGAACAGAAAAATAAATAAATCCTTGGCAATTNTAGTCAGTTCGACGCGATTATTGGTTTGCGCCGTGATATTGTGTCCACATTAGAAACAATGCGGTCCCTGGTTCTTAATAAACTTCCACAGAAAATTTCATCTGCGTATTTTCAGGTTCAACATGCGTGCATTCATCGTTGTACTGGCCGCACTTCTCATCATGTCCGAAGTAAATGGTGGAGCGCGTGAGTGACGCATTTTTGAACAGAACACACATTTTATTGCGTTTTGCAGTCAGCTAAATTCGTCTTGCATACCGCAGGTGCCTGGTTTCAGTATAGTCAGAGATTTACATCTCTATATATTCCTATGGATATATATGTTTATATTTCTATATATAACACAACATCAAATTCGAGTGTATTCAACTACAGTGCTGCTCATGCACTGACCGGAAGACCTCATGCCGGGTGCGCAAACCACCATTCTTGTCTTGGCTTTCTCATCTTGAATATAAACGAAATTTGCAGTTCTTTGAGATGGAAACGCAGGGATGGGGGTTCTGTTTTTAATTTGGTTCACAACGCGCTCTGTTAACCACCAATTTATAACAAACCTCTGTTCTTCCTTGTGTCCGTTTCATATTGAGTGTCCACAGAACGTGAATGTTCTTCAAATAGCCAGTTTGATCAGACTCACTTTACAGGTGCAGGTGGAATGAATTATTCATTTTAGCTTGCAGAGTTTTCGAATACCTCAGCTGAAGCAGCGAGGTTGTTGCGCACAATGTCGTCAGTAGATTTCCGTTGAAACTGTCAACTGGCCGGTTTGAAGAATGGTTGATACAGCCCATGTTTGTACGCTGCTTATCGGCTGCAGTTAGGTTAAATCAAGCTCAATAAAGTGTTCCTGCAAATATTCGTGAATGAACTTTTGTTGTCGTGGGTGGTGCGCAGGTTCATCAGCAGATGACGGTCGACCGTTGAGAGATATATTAAGCATAAAAGGGCGGAAGTTATTGGCAGTGTTTAATTTCGGCAAAGCCTTCTTCTTAACTGCTTATTGATAGGGTGGTCATTGTTCAGTTCGGAACGCTTGGCTACCGCCTGTCACGATGACTAGACCCACATGATATCGGCTATATTCATGCTAACCCATCCAGAATTCTTGGCTCATCCAGTTCACGTTCAAGGCTTTGTAAAGAAAACAATGGATATTTAAGTAAAAATCACTTAACGCTGCCATTTAATGCGAATTTCTTTACATTGTCATGTCAGGCAGAGTTTTTCTAAATTGTCTTACCTCACGAGCTACCACAACACACTCAAAATGTTTAACCTCTCAGGGGATGAAACACGGTTTTCGTGGCTACATTCACAAACGAGTGGTTCGAGCTGTACCCAGCAGCACGTTTTATCGTTAGGTAAAGGAGTTTTTACGCCCACCTGATGAGTAAAATTATAACCGACAAATGTGTTACAGTGACGAAAAACCATTTGCCGAGCAATACATACAGTTGATTTTCTCCTCATATTGGTTTCCGGAACGTGATTTATTTGCTCCAAGTTGCTTTGCCAGTCAGTGTGGGAGGTATGGATTGAAAAGCACTTCGGCAGTTGAGATATAAGAGGTACGATTTTCGGTCTGATGTCAAGTATAGCGTGTAATCCTGGAGGTGCTTGAACACCGGAATCGTTTCTCCATTAGTATCTGCTTGCACGTTGATACTTTGTCCACATAAGTATGAGTGTGTCACCTAGTTTTGAACAAACGTCCACTGTAAATTACGTTTCCGTTTTTCAGGTTAAACATGCGTGCATTCACCGTTTTACTGGCCACTTTTCTCCTCATATCCGATGTAACCGATGCATCGTTTGAGTGACGAAATTTTGAAAAGAGCATAGCTTTGAGTTTTGCTTTGCAATCAAAAAATATATTCTGCGTACCGCATTTGCCTGGATTTAGCATAGTCAATAGTTTATATTGGTATGTAATTACACCAGATAGGTTGTACTCACCGTTTCCACCGTCTTACAAGATTTTCAATGAGTCAATTATCGATTGTTTTCATTGGTTATTGGAGCTGCGCCACCGTCCTTCCATCGTTAGAAATTAAAATGCATCACTAAGAATATTACTCGCAAATTGTAAGTTACACCTCGTAACCTGGGAATAACGTCCAACCGGTTTCGATGCCTGGTCGATCGTCACTGAGTGGCTTGTCCAGCATTGGAATATTTTCTTCCAATTAGGATCATAATTCCACTAGAATAGTCATTATGTGTTACATATCTAGTTCCCTCTATATTCCGCCATTTTATTTTTGTGTGACTAATATAACTGCATTCGGATATGTTGGCTTTCGAAGTTTGGTGAAAATCTGATTGCTTTCAATTCAGTTTCCAGGTTTCTGTTCGTGGAAATTTCATGAACTTCATTTTTTTCTTTCGAAAGTAGTGGTCGGAAAACAAAGATAAGGCCTGGCATATTTTATTGAACCGGAATCGCCACGCAACCGGGCTGAGGAAACTGCCACTGTGGAAAAACGGGCAACGGATGATGCAAAACACTGAACCCGAACCTAAAAAAAACCCCGAAATCGAAGACAAAAATAAATAAATCCTGGGTATTTTCCCATTTGGGGGACTTCTATTTAACAAAACCAAATCTAAGTTGTCATTCGATTGAGAATGGAACCACACTACACTTAGTGGGCTGCATTTTCTCTAGTCGATGAAAGCCGTCCAATAATCAACCGGAAGTTCTTAATAATGGCTCTGCAATCCGTGAATTCAGTTGCTCTTAAGTATTCTCACCGATGCCGTCTCGTCAGCATTGGCTCTATGTGCAAACGTCGGAGGCCCAAATAAAAAACATGTGAAAGCTAGGTGGTTTAATGAATTTCAGTTTACTTGGCTTATCGTTCCGAGTGACAAACATATGCAAGTCAATCCATCATTCGGGGAAGTTAGTCTATTGAGGCGTCTTCCACCTTAGACCATTGTTCATAACAGCAGCAGAGTGATCATTCCTAAAGAGGGCTGCATTTTCCTCTATCAAGCACTGATACATCCTCCACTAACTTGGCAGAACCTGAATGGAGGAACTACTTGTAAACTAACAGGTCTAGCAACATGAAATCAGATGTTTTCATTAGACTACCAGCCTTCGTGGACCAGATAATCTGCTATTCTACCACCGGAATTATAAATGAACCCAAAAGTGTTCCAAAAAGGAGACTGTGGTTTGCGATTCATATTTCGTGATGAAGCACTGCTCAAGTCGAGAAATGTTTTGGACAACAAGGCCGATTGTGAAGTTCACGTTACGGCTGAATATAGGTATCCAACATGCGATGATCCTGTCCGAGGGAGCCCTTTATACTGAAAACCGCGAGATGCTATACAGCCGTTTCATGCTTGGTTGGATTCAACAGTAAGGCACAACTCACAACAGGGATGAACGAGCTTTAGTGTGATTCTTCACTTCTCAGCAGACATTGGCTTTACTAACAAGTGGAATTCTTTCTATCTGATATCAACTCGTCTCAAGACATTTCAATGAAACACACGCTTTTTCATGTGTGTACAATTCTCACAGCCTTGTGGAAATAGTTGGAAATAGTTGGTCAATTATCAACAGTCAGAGTTTGGGATTTTCAGTTTGCCGACCATATTCTTAGATTCACTGGCACAGTCGCTTGTGCACGAGCTTTGGGGGTAAAGCCAAAATGGTTTATTGTCTAATTCAGGTGTTTTGCAGTTGTCTTCAGCTTCATTCATCAAGGAACACATACAAAGCCAAAATTATTGTCTAATTCAGGTGTTTTGCAGTTGTCTTCAGCTTCATCCCTCAAGGAACACATACCCAAATCGTCAAGTTCAGTCAGTCATGACACTTCAAGCAATTTGTCCAGCTTTTTCGACAGCAAAGTAAACGACTTTGGAATAGTGAACAATGAGTACCTCTTGGTACAGCATACTCCGAACTCCCTGGTAAGCAATTGCGCACAATACCACTTGGTCAAGCATGGCTAGTCAACCGTCCATGTGGCTTCTCATTGGACAATGTATCCCGCTTGTCATAACTCAATCCCGAACTACATCCCTATCCCCATAGTCTCCTATAGATGAAATTGATCAACTTGGACTGAAAGCATTGCGGTCTCACGAATTGGATGGAAGATTTTGCTCAATGTCCCAGAATTCCATGTTCCAAGCGGAATTCGGACAAGAAGCCGAGAATCGATCTGATACGACGATTTGCGGCTTTAACTGTTTCTTCACAAACATTCGGAAATGGTGACACACTGACTGGTTTATACCTGTGCAATTTACCGACTTTAGTATTAGCAAACCCCATGCACTAAAGAATACCACAAAATTGTCGAGTGAGAACGTGTACCGCATATGTCAAAATATCATCTATCCAAAAAGAAATCGTTCCGATCAAAGCCCTCAGAAAGCAAGATTTTGGGAAACGTACCTCACTGGAAATAACGTCAAAGAATGAAGGATGGTTTGTTTTGAAACATGCCTTACCGAGGCCGAGTTGATTCTCTTCCACAATATTGAGAACCCTACAAATCTTGGCTTCAAACTGAACTCAGCCTCAAATGTGTTGGCACAGACTAGCCATACACACCAGGACCCACTTGATGGCTTGGGATCTCCATCACTGGAAATGTTGTGAGACTTACTGGAGTAAAACGAAGTTAGTCCATAGGTTTATTTATTTTGGGATATTCTGTAGTGACACTCAAAGCGAGTTGTCGAGCTTATTTGACAGCGAGGTAAACGAATTCCGATTAAGGAATAATGAATATCTCTTGGTAAAGCATACGCTGGACTCCCTGGTAGGCAGGTTTGGACAGTACCACTTGTCCATGCGTGGCTAGGCACCGGTCCAACTGGCTTGTCATTGGACAAGGTATCCCGCTAGTCATCCCCTAATCACAACATACAACCCTATCCCGATATGCTCGTAGAGTGAAAAATTATCAGCTTGGACCAAAAGATTTAGGGTCTCATAACTTGAAAATCATAGTCATGTCTATAAATGACATGTCTAGAGATGAGTTCGGATGGATCTTGACATTCTGAGGGAAAATGCTTGAGTCGGATGGAGAAAACCATGATGATTTAAAATATGGTCAGCTAGATGTGCCGTCCGCTTTGTAAGGCAACAGCTGGATATAACCCCACTGAAACATGGGGCAACCCGGTGCAACATATTTAACTGATTGAAAACATCATAAACGAGAAATCCAGGAGGGGTTTAAAATAAGTCTCCCACAGAACCAAATTTGTTTGCAAATGAGTGTATTTCGCTAATGTTCAATTTCTGTTCAGGTAAAGCACAGAGGTGACGACGATGATGAATGGCTTAAAGAGATCCAGGGCTTTTGGAGAGCATAAAGATACCCCTCAACGTTCTGTCAGATGATGATATGCGGTTCCCCTTCTTCCACCACCCTTAGGCGCAGATAAAATTGTGGATATACAGATCAGGTCACCCAGATGAAACCTGGACAGCTTTGTGCAGCACATTCAGTTGGAGAATAGCACCCATGAGAGATTCAGTAGTGAATCAGCGAAGACTCTTGTTGAAACAAATTCTTTTGGAACATTGTATATTTTGCAGACCGAGCAACCGTATACCACTCCACCAACCAAGCAAGGTTGACGATGAAGCAATTTCATCTTCAATAGAGCTGTTTCCACCAAACAACACTCTAATCCTTCCTCAGTGAAGGTTTACCGACTGTATTGTCAGTGGCCCTCACTGTCGCCCAACAAAACAGATTCCAGTCCACGATATTTTTGGTGAG